ATGTATTTCACCAAATAAAGTTTTAATACGATGTTATAATTATGATAATCACGCCATGGATCACGCTAACTCGAATCACTCTGAATTTATCTGTATGTGTGTCGATCTCGATTATTTTTGTTATCCAATTAAACGCCACTTTTAACGCACTTGCCCTCGTCGTGACCCGACGCGTTCACCTATTTCAACAAAATGTCAATTTATTTCCACGCGGCTGTAATTTATTTAGTAACTGTGATTTGTCGTTATTTTAATTATTTTATAGTGATCACTATAGTCCAATGTTTAGAATGTCAAAATTGAAAGTTTTACTCAGACGATCGATGAAATAAAACAGTGTAGTGACGTGCCTAGTAACTTGCTAAATAACGAGATAATTCCGACGTCAAATTCTATTTTGTCCAGCAACAGTGTACAAACGTGCACCGGTGTCGGTGACGATCACGGTGACCAGCTACACCAGAACGGACAAATTTCTCATCTAACTCAACCTCATGCAACAACAATTGATACTATGTGTTCATTATGGTCCATTCTTCCTCGACGAACAAGTACATAAGTGACAATATAGTCAAAGACGAGAAAACTGCACAAGAAATTTGCCTTATTTACACGTATCGGCAATGCAAGCTGCCATGCGACTTCCCCTTCTGACGTCACAAGGGGAATTTATGTATGCAAATGAGAAGCTAATGAGGAGCCTCGTTTTAAAATACACAAAAATAAAGTTGTCATAGACTGAGTCTAAAACACATTTTTTCACTTAAAAAAATAATTCATGCTTAGAAACATAAAAATTAATAATATTTATGTACCAATTGATAATTTTAGGCATGAAAATAGCAGCCATTTCAAAGGCACTTTAAATTTGCAGAAAACTTCTGTAATTAATTTCAATAAGTTAAAACAATAAGTAATACTGAGTTTGAATTCAAGTGTAAATTGAAACTAGAAATAAATCCATTGACTGATATAACTGTATAATTGGTCACATTACAAGCTTTGAACAATGAACAAAGCAGGAATGAATGTAAGTATGTCTATATGAACACTTGTGTCTACATATCAATGTCCCCTCAAACAGAGTTGACATAATGTGAACAAATACTCCTATCACTATGTTAGACATACACATGCAATAGTCATTAAGAGGTACGTTGAATGTCAACTGTTCACTTACAATGAACCATAATGATATACCATGTACAAAAGGTACATGTATTTTCCATTTCACTGATGGATACATTCACCGCTAATAGTGTCTCAACAAAAAATGTAATGATTGTAATGAGACTGAAAACCAGCTGCAAATAATGCTCCAATCTACAGTTCCTTTGGTTAGTTGGCAAAGCTCTTTTTGAAAACTGCATCTATTTATCATCAGCATGGATTCTTTGTAGTTTGTATATGGCATTCTATATTGTGGTTGGCTTCATTCGCATTGAAATAAAATGTCTTGAGCTTTTCCTTATTTTATTTTATCTTATTTATCATTACTATTATTTTTTATTCATTTATATTTGAATTATTTTATTTGCTGACATTTGTTTTTGTCTGACTGTGAAATCCCTACAAATATCTAATCAACTCAAATAGATAATATCAGAACAATAATTAAAATAAAACATAAATTCTTGTAAATAAATACCAGTTGTCAAAAGTAAACATAAATAAATTTAATTTAATCATTAATCTTACAAGTCAATAAATGACGTTGGTTGATGACCACAGGAAATATATCAGTTTTGTAATTGAATTTCAGCATGAATATATAACAAATGTATGTTGATATAAACTTACCTATACAATGAGTAGTCCATCCACTGGCCCACACTTTATCAGATATAATATAAACATCACTAAGGTACCACACCCCTCTCCAGATATTTAAAATTCCAAAGGCCACAATGGAAAGAAAAAAATCTTCAAAGGCTATGCGTGAATATTTTCCAAGTCTGCAAGATATTTCTGCAGCAATGAATTGAAGTAAATAGCTGGTAAAAACTATCCCATATCCGATACCTAAAGATGCCCATCCTGAGAATTCTGTATCAGCTGGGAAAAGTACATTATCGATACAAGTCCACATGCCTCTCCAATAAGACACCACTGCACTGCCAAGAACAATCACTGTGAAGATCAAGTCTAATAAGTATAAATAGATATCTGATGAAATTTCAACTCGAAACCTTGTCAATATAGTAAACTTATGATTGCAGTCAAAAAGCAAGCTGTTTGGTGGTCGCAAGATATTTCTGCTGCTTCTAGATGCCCATAGAATTGCTAATGCTGTAAACGTTGATATCAATCCACTATTCAAACCATCACCAGTATAGTTATCCCAGACATGCCAAACACCCCGCCACTGGTTAACGCATCCAAACGCCAAAATGTATGTATGTACCCGACTAGCGATATTCCACAATACACGATTACTTTTGCCAACAATTCGTTTGAAAGTAGTTTGCCACATGTGCATGACGATAATGATAAGGAAGCCCAAAACAAAGGAGAGCCAGCCACTGGCTTCATAGTTCCGAGGATTGACAATGTTATCCATAATATACCAAGTGCCTCTCCAGAAGAAAATTACAGCCGTAGTAATTATACAAAAAAGTGCTACCCCATCTAGGGTACACATGCATATTCGGTTGCATACTGGACTCCTATGTGAATGTTGCGTTTGGTTTTCATCTGTGCTGTGTAATGGTTCCAAAGCAGTTTCTCTATCCTCATCTGCCATGATGAAAACTAGTTTTAATCACACAGTGTAAATTCAGTTCCTTCCTACCATCATATTTCACTTATGTAGTTTCCTTGGTGACAATCTGCTTAGTAACTATGGCAACTGTCTCCTCTTGATCCATTTTAACGAGATCATTGGAGCCTTAAAAAAAGAAGACCTTCATTTAAGATAAAAATTTCTTCAAGTGACAATAATCTGCAATATTAAATATTAACAAGCAATTTGATTTACTTGAGCAGTTAAGACATTCTGGTATGGTTCAGTTTTTGAATGAAATCTTGTGCAGGAAGAGAGGCAATACATTACTAAGAAATATCAAGCTTCTAAAGAAAACATTCATATTTATTACTAAACATATATAAAGAGTTTGCTTGCAGTGCCTTTACATTAGAAGTCAGCTTCGTATGACCAACTCCAGGCTAAACGGGAATCTGGTATAGAGTAATTAATTAAAAGATGATATTTTGCGCAAATGCTTCATTCAATACACAAAATTACATAATATTTTTATTTAAATATTTAAATCTATATTTGTTATTTTCTGCTCAAAACTCAATGCACAAAAGCCAGCAAATAATTGCTATAATACTTTTCAATCATATTCTGTATTACAGTTGAATGAGTTCTAAGGTACGCAAAAGAGCTACATCTTTGTATTAGAATTTCATTACGCAAAGTTGCACCTACTATCCAAGAGCTTTCAATTTGTCTTTGTGAAGGACAAAAATACAGGAAGAATGCAAGTCACAGAAGTACACATTGGCACTACAAAATAAAAACAGGATTAGAACTACCAGGGCATATTAAATTTAATTTTAATGAAAAACAAATACATCATTTTTACAGTCATACACTATCTTTGTGAAGAAATAATTTATTAACTTTTAACTATTAATCAAAATTGTATTGTGAAAGCTTGGCCTAGATAAATGAATCAATTGTTGAAAACACAACAGTAGATTCTGACTTGTTACGTAAAATACCGATCCCATTTGTCTATGTACTCACACCGACACATTAGGATGGTCAACCATGCTATACAATACTACAATAGCAATGTATACAATATACTCAGAGAGTGTCAACGGAACTCTGGCCATGAATAACAATAATACATATATGGTCGTTTGGCTCACTACAGACGAGACCGCGCCTCACATACAAACATAACGTACGTAGTACAGCAGACCATATTTTACCATGGGTCCTGGGTTGTTATAAACACAACTATTAAACGGTTGTTGGAGACACTGTACTTACCGCGAGTTCATCAGCAACCAACTAATCACTATTGCATGGATTAGATAACCTGTAATACACAACACGTAAACCGTAATATCAACGGAATAGGAATGTTTTCGAACTCGCCCGCCACATAGAATCACGACACCGTTTATCAGCCATACTTATTAAAGGCTCTTGCAATAACCTCCCCCTGGAGAGTGGTTGCGTATTACCGGCACAACTCACGGTTTGCGACAAACAAACGCCCTCAAATACGTTTTCTATAAATCGCGCTCTGTCGCGACGAAGCTCTTCTATGTGTCATGACGGCCGTTGAAATCTTCGATATGTAACCGTGCATCTATGAAGATTGTGTTTTCGAGAGATTTACTACATTGTTACAATATCGTTGCAGAAAGTTATGAATACATTTAGGGGTCAATTTGAAATCTTTATGTAGATTTTAAGAAATGGAAGCTAGACATCGTGAGAAATGCATGAAAGGTGTTGCTGGGGAAAAAAAAACTTTTATTTGTTGTTACTTGTAAGCTGATGCATACTCTATGTTGTATTAATGATAAAGATATTTTCGAGGCGGCGACAGCCCCCCCCCCCCTGTGCACACACACACACACCCGAGACCCCCCCCCCCTGCCAACGCCACTAACATGAGCATTCAAGATAAAGGGTAATCATGTTAGTACATCCATGGGGTAAGTAATTAGTGAGCTTTATAATTAGGTGAGTAGAAATGTTCCCATGTATAAATAATATTATTTATTCGCCTTTGAAACGGAAAATGCCTACAAGCCAAATACAAGTAAAAGAACATCAAAATAGGCAATGAAATAAACTGAAAACAAACACTACTTGAACAACTATTCGATTAAACTTCCTTCCTTGTGGCCCAACTTTCCCTAATGAATTTCCTGATTAACATTTGATGTTTCTCTCTCAAGAGTATTGTTCATAACGTAAGGAAAATCTAAAGTTCGGGCTTCCTGGGTGAAATGCGCTAATAGTGAAATGATGAAACGTTCTTCTTAACCTTGCCTCAAAAAGAATAGAGATGCCAAAATGATCAACGAGTTATTAACATACTTTTATCTTTAGTTGTGTTTTTTTTAAGTATAGTGGTTTAATGACCTCGTGTTTTTTATTGTGCTCTGAAAAAGTCTAAATTGATTAGCTTCGCAAGTTTTATAGAAGATATTATTCCATTTGTTGGTGGATGAGAGTTGTAAATATGATCCAGACCATTTTCTTTCAGAATGCTATGTGTATATTGTGGGCAGTTCCACGGTAAGTACGCGTTATTAATGTCGGTTCTAATTGAGTTCCTTGACATTTCATGAAATATTGACCTTTTTCGCTCTCAGTTATTTTATCATATTGCTCATATTATATGTTAATGGTATGCCCGTTGATCTGCGTAAAATAAAATACATGTAGTAATATGAGATTTTACAATGCCCAGAATTATTATCCATTATTGCTAGATTTAAAAAGTACACAAAATACAGAAACATCGAAGCATTGCCTATCTGCGAGTCAATGCCATGGTGTACACGTCTTTTGTATCATGATATATTTTCATTCGTATATCATAGGGATTGTGGACATGATTACGATGACGTCATATAGTTAATTGCATTGCTTGAAGTGACATCGGTGTGAAATTATAATGTGACCATCATTAGCTAAATCAACATTTGTGTTTCATTTGTCATTACGTAACATTGGTAGACCAGAAGTATCTTTAATTCCTTTGAGCTTATGCGACAGCAATGTAAAGTTGTGTCGATAATATATACGATATTCACAAACAAATAACAGTCACGGTGTTGACTTTGATGAACATAAGTTATTGTCCACTTATTAGAGTTGTGATTGGTGCAAAATATAGAGTAGCACAAATAATGACAATCTGATTGGTGCGTTCATATTTAGAGACGTAATCATTACCTAGAATTCATAGTGCATCTTTATTTAACTCATTGTACAGACTGGCGTAGGAGAGTGGCACTCCGGGTTGCCGTGGGTGAGTCTCCCTGACAAAGACTAAAAAGCACAACTGCATATATCTGGTGCTTGTAGTTATTGTATGCAGCGATGAACGATCCCGATTCCTCCTGAAATAATTATTCCATGACGCTTGGAAGAAGAACACGCACAATTTCACCACACAGGAAAGCTGTGCAGAATATTGTGCAACCTACGACTGACCGACGCTGACGTAACGTGCTCTAGTATGTGGTAGGTGTGTTTGGTTAATAAGAACCATGGTAGTGTAAATGAAAATTAGCAAGTTAGTTTACAAAGACAATATAATAATAATAACTTTATTACGCTGCTTAAAACCTTCAGAGGGTTTGTGTATGGTAAGAACATAAAATACAAAGAAACACGATAACAATACAATTCAAAAGAGATAAAATATAAGAAAAATGTTAGTAAAATAAAAGAAAAAATAAATTAATTACTTTCCATGGTTTTAAAAATTGTGCTCTTCAAATATTTTGCTAAGGCTATATTATTCTCCATAATCTTTTTAAATATGGAATTCACATCCATTGTGTAAATATTTATTGCACACTCAAACAGCTTTTTTCTCTGTTCTATATAGCCAGTACAAAATAGCAGGAAATGTTTTTTTATCTTCTAATGCTTCAGTGTTACATTTTTTACAGTGTCTATTTTCTAATTCTATTTCGGGCTTTGTTCTCCTATCTAATTCTATTTCCATAGTATATAATAATTTCCTTATCATAACTTACTTTGAATAATTTGTATGTTCTCAGTTTTCATTGGTTTCACTGAAATTTAGTTGTTCTCTCAATCTTTGAATATAATTTTCAGATAGCCTGAGTTTTCCTTTTTTTTATTATTTGATCCCAATTTTTCATATTGTGGTCATTTTTTATTTTAATTAGATCATGTCCTAGTGTAACTTTAATATTCCTTACCCAGTTTGAATAAATTTTTATCATTTCAACCAGGGATGATTTTAAAATGTGATTATCTGGCAGACTATATAGTCTATGCCAGTATTTAATTTGAGCCAAATTAATTTTTAATTTTATTGGTAACTTACCAAGATCTGCTTTCAAACCACTAATTGGCGTCATTTTACTCACTCCTAGGATAAATCTGTAGAAATGACTGCAAACTTGCTCTAAACTGTTACTGTCAGTTGTGGTTTCATTAGGTGAAATTAACTGGTCAAAAATTTTCAAACTAAGTGCTGGTGAGATTATTTTGTGGTTTAAGACTGTTTGTCTAATGCTGAAAAGAGCCTTTATTGATTTGTTTTTTTAACATAGATAAGTTTGTTTTAAATGTTCCATTTGGAGTAAATATTGCCCCTAAATAGTAAAACTCACTAACAGCTGCTATGTCTTGGTTGTTGATTTTAAAATTCATGTTTTTAATCAATCTGCAGTTAAATACCATAACTTTAGTTTTCTTTACATTTACTTCTAAATTAGAATTTATACAATAGTCACTTAATTTGTTCAGACAGCTTTGTAGTCCGTCTTCCGTTTCTGAAATATATGCAAGGTCATCTGCATATTGGATGCAATTTAAAGGTTTCTCGCCCATTAGAACTGGTTTATCAATTTGATCCCCAAATAATTCTGGCAGATCATTCAGAAAAATGTTAAATAAAGTTGGTGATAAATTGCAACCTTGCTTAACTCCACAGGTAGACTGAAATCCATCAGTTATACCCTCTGACAATTTAACTTTATATTTAATATCCTTATACATAG